CTGAGACTGGCTGGGCAGGGCCCCAGGAGGAGAGGACTATGAGTAAGGCCCGAGCCTCAGAGATGAGGGCCGTCCAGGAGTCCCTTTCCCAATGCAGTTTGCTGGGGGAAACCCCTAAGGGTCAGACCCCCACCCAGCACGTGCTCTTGGAGCACCAGTGTCATTTTCTGGGTCCCGTCTGTATCATCTGACTAATGCCACCTCTGTGATCGCTGAGGTTGGGTCAGCTTCACTCCTCATTACAGCCCAGGCCCTCAGCAGGACAGCTCTGGCTGTTGGAGCCACAGGCATAATTTTAAGTTTCCTAATCGATGCATAAAAAGCAATAAAAAGAAATGGGTGAAATTAACAGGTGTGGTGGCTCATGCCTGTAATCCCAACACTTTGGGGGGCTGAGGGGGGCACATCACCTGAGGTAGAGAGTTCGAGACCAGCCTGACCAACATGGAGAAACCCTGCCTCTACTAAAAATACAAAATTGGCCAGGCATGGTGGCACATACCTGTAATCCCAGCTACGTGAGAGGCTGAGGCAGGAGAACCACTTGAACCCAGGAGGTGGAGGCTGCAGTGAGCTGAGATCACACCATTGCACTCCAGCCTGGGCAACAAGAGCAAAACTCTGTCTCAAAAAAAAATCATAAGAAGAAATGGGTGAAATTAATTGCAATATGGTTCATTGACCCGGTGCCTCCAATGTTTTATCAATTCAGTATTAAAGACAAATACGTGAGACACTGAAGTTCCTCATGTCATGACAAAGCCTCAGGAAGCCTAGTGTTTATTTCACATTGGCAGCCCGTCTCCAGGTGGAAAGCCATGTGTCAAGGGGTCAGTTGCTACATGTGGCCCCCTGCTGTGGCCAGGGTAGCAGCAGATGCCTGGTGAACCTTGAGCCACATTGTTGAGTGAGGGCGGTGGTGTCCAGGCAGCATTCCCTATGGCGAGGCCTGTGCTGGGCACCTTGTGCCAGGTGATCTCCAAGGCCATGGTTTTTTTTTTTTTTCTTGAGACAGACTCACAGGCTGGAGTGCAGTGGCATGATCTTGGCTCACTGCAACTTCTATCTCTGGGTTCAAGTGATTATCCTGCCTCAGCCTCCCAGGTAGCTAGGATTACAGGCATCTGCCACCATGCCCAGCTAATTTTTGTGTTTTTAGTAGAGACAGGGTTTTACCATGTTGGCCAGGGTGGTCTCAAACTCCTGACCTCAAGTGATCTGCCTGCCCTGGCCTCCCAAAATGTTGGGATTACAGGCGTGAGCCACTGGGCCTGGCCTCTGAGGCCATGTTCTGCTGCTGAAAGGCACATCCTCTGTAGCAGAGGGTGCAGGGTTAGGCCAGGCAGAGCTGGAGTCAGCCAGGCTGGGTTCTCAGCCTCTGTGCCCTGCCAGGGGCAGATCTCATGCCATGTGTTGGGATTGTCCCCTGTCCCCAGAATTGGGGCATCTGTGCTCCCAGGAGTGCTCGGCCCGGGGGATGTTGAGTGCATGGGGACTCAAGGGAGACTCCCCTCACAGCGGCCCCGCCACCCTGCAGGTGAGAAGCCCTACGTCTGCCCCTATGAGGGCTGCAACAAGCGCTATTCCAACTCCAGTGACCGCTTTAAGCACACTCGCACCCACTATGTGGACAAGCCCTACTACTGCAAGATGCCCGGCTGCCACAAGCGCTACACGGACCCCAGCTCACTGCGCAAGCACATCAAGGCCCACGGCCACTTCGTGTCCCATGAGCAGCAAGAGCTCCTGCAGCTGCGCCCACCCCCCAAGCCACCACTGCCCGTCCCCGACGGCAGCCCCTATGTCAGCGGGGCCCAGATCATCATCCCTAACCCAGCCGCCCTCTTTGGAGGCCCCAGCCTGCCTGGCCTGCCCCTGCCCCTGGCTCCTGGCCCCCTCGACCTCAGTGCCCTGGCTTGTGGCAGTGGTGGGGGCAGTGGAGGTGGAGGGGGCATGGGTCCTGGGCTGCCGGGACCCGTGCTGCCTCTCAATCTGGCCAAGAACCCGCTGCTACCCTCGCCCTTCGGGGCAGGCGGACTGGGCTTGCCTGTGGTCTCCCTCCTTGCTGGCTCTGCTGGTGGCAAGGGCGAGGTAGAGAAGGGGCGTGGGTCAGTGTCTGCCAGGGCCCTGGGCATGGAGGGCCGCAAAACACCCCTTGAAAGGACGGAGAGCAGCTGCTCCCGGCCAAGCCCCGACGGACTACCCCTGCTGCCGGGCACCGTGCTAGACCTGTCCACGGGCGTCAACTCCGCTGCCAGCAGCCCAGAGGCACTGGCTCCTGGCTGGGTGGTCATCCCGCCGGGCTCCGTGCTGCTCAAACCGGCTGTGGTGAACTGAGCCCACCCTGTGGACAACTGACAGCCCTGCCGGCAGCTCCTGGCACAGCCCCCTGACGAACGGAAACTCTTCTGTGAAATAGCAATAATGTCCTACTGCCTGGGCAGCCCCAGCCCAGCCCGCCAGGGAGTAAGGATGGTGCTAGGTCATTCATGGCTGGTCCCCTGGTCCCCGAGTGGGGCTGGCCTGCCATTTGGGGAGAGCTCTGCTCCTGGGTGCTGATGCCTCGCTCCCCTCTGGCCCCCCCCCCACCCAGCTCTCAGCTTCTGTGAGGCTTGTCCCTGCCCGTCCTCCCGTTTCTCCCACCCTGGCACCTCCCTCACCCAATGACTACCCCTTCTCCAGCAGAAAGGGTGGGTGGGGTGGCATGTGCCCTCCCTGTTGGCACCAGGCTCCCCCTTCCTGAGAGAGGGATCAGAGGCCCACTCTTCCCTCCTAGGCTTACCCAGCCCCTGTCCTGGGGGCTCCTTGGACCCCTTTCTCTCTGACCCTGCCTCCAGAGGGAAAGCAAGACAGATGTGGGCCCCTTCAAAGCCCCAGGCAGAAGCATGCCCCCCAGGACAAGGCGCCTCCTGCTAGTTAGAAGGGAGGCCCCGCTCCACAGTTGCCCTTCTCCCCCCTAGGCCAGGCTGACAGCACTGCCCAAGGGACGCCGCCTCCAGACTGAGGGAATAACTGACCACTCCGTCCCTGCACCTGGGGGCCTCCTTCCTCTACCTTGGGGCACCCTGGGACAGTGGGAAGCCCATCTGAACCCCTGAGCTGGCGAGGGGAGGTAACAGGCCAGGTGTAATGCCAGGACAGAGTGGCCTGGGCCCTGGCTCAGGGAGCATGTGGGGCCAGACCCATCACCCGGTCTTCCTGTTTCCACCCCCGCTGGGCCTGGCCTGGGCAGTGCCCCCTGCAAGAGGCCTGCGGGCCTTGGTCCTGCACCAGGACGGGGAGGATGGCTGGGACACAGCTCCTGGTCTGGGGCTCCAAGTGACAGCATGCAGGGGAGGGTCTCCCAGCCAGTGCTGTGTTGGAACTTTCTAGAGGCTGTGGACTGAAGGCCTGAGGGAAGCAGTGGCCTTCCCTCACCACCTGTGACACTTGCTTCCTCAAGCTTTTTCCTTCCAAGCTGCTATCTCAGAGGCGCTTCCCCACCCCAATACCCACTGGGCTCCCTCAGGTTCTGTGCCACTCACAAGGACCCTGGCAGGGGCCAGAACCATTTAAGGGTGCTGGAAGGCCTTGTGCCCCTTAATCCCATCCCAGGACACCCTGGGAGATGGATGCATCCATGCATCCCCCATCTGGGGCCTCCCCTCTGCTCCCTTTCCTGCCTGGTGGCTGGGAGTTCTGGCTTCTAGGCTTGCCCTGTCACCAGGCCTCCGAATGGCCCGGCCTTTCCACCTCCCCATCCGTAGAACGAGGCAGCTGCCTGGATAGCACCGGGGTCCTCAGTGGCCCGGCAGATCCTCTGGCAGCTTTGCTGACCCCACCCTCTCCCAGACTGCCCTTCTGTCCCAGAGGGGTCACCCTGACCCAGCCTGACCTGCCGCTGGGCTTCGGACTCCAGCCCTGACAGGGCCCCGCCTCGCTGGCTCTGCCCCTCGAAGGGGCTATGAGCAAGGTAGGAGCTGGTCTCCTTTCTTCGGGCCCCATGCAGGCCCCGAGCACCCCCCACCCCTGTGAGGGCCCCAGGCCTTAAGTCCCTGGTGGGGTCACAGGTTTCTGACTCGAGCGGAGCGGAGGAACAGGGCACTGGAAGGCCGACGAGCTCAGCATGCGGTTCGGTGACAGACCAGGCTCGGAAGGGCCGGCGTACTTTTCGTGGTTGTCGTTGGTTTGTTGTTGCACATTCCAGGATATCAGTATTTTAACAGGTTCTAAGTGCCTTTCTATCGTAGCTTATGTTTTTCCTCCTTTTGGCTCCATTGCTGTTAGCATAGAGTTTTTAAAAAAAGAGATAAGCTAATGACTATAACAATATATTCCTCCATGGGAGAGGAAGTTTATAAAGAAACAATAAAAGTGAGTTGCAAAGATGGCTTGCGCGTGGTGGATGTGCCGGAGCCTGGCCCTGTGCCCGGCTGTGCGCCGCCCCGGAGCCCCTGCCAGCCTGATCTTTCCGACCCTGTAGATGCCCCTCCCTCTCAATCTGCAACTGAGAGCAGGACCTGGAAGGCTGGGGAGGAGGTAGGTGCTGAGGGCGCACAGGTGACAGGAGCTGAGACTGAAGATTCCAGACTGAGCATCCCAAGGTTCAGGTCCTCGGCCCACTACTGCCCAGTGTGGCTTTGGTAAGCAGTGGGTGTTACTGAGGTGCTGGGTTCAAACTCGCCCCAGGGACAGGGTGGCTGCAAATAGCTCTAGGGCCAGGGGACTGCCACCCTGGGGGAAGGGCAGGGGCACCCCTGATAGTGAATGGGACCTGGAGTCTGGCAGGGTGCCATGGGAGGGAGCCTGGCGCTGGCAAGGGTGCTGTGGAGGCAGGAGAGGCCGCATCCTGTACGTGATTGGACTTGGCTGGGGCCTGCCAGCTGGCTGCCTACCAAGCTTGCCCAGCCAGGCCCCTCTGGGCTGTCAGGATGCTGCCTCCCCAAGCCAAGCACACACAGCCCTGCGACTGGCAGAGGAGCAACCTGCCCTCTGGAATCTGGACCCATGCACATGAGAAATGCAGAAAAGACATTTATTACCAAGCTATAAATTAGAGGCGGCAGGATGGGTGGGGAGAGCCAAGCAGTCACGTGTGGGGCGTCCGCCCTTCTCTGTCCTCCTGGGCCTGGATTCTGAGTTCCTCATCCAGGCGTTCCTTTGCGCGGACCACCTGGTAGGTCACAGATAATAAGGCCGGGAGGCTAAGCCTCCGCCCTATGCCCCTTGCCCACATGGGACACAGCCTCTTCCCATCTGGCCCAGGTCCATTTTTGGAGAGCAGTGGGTGGATACCAGTGCTTCCTTCAGCGCTGCCTGGGGAGACAGAGCCAGGCTGCAGGGGCCCAGTGCATGCTGTGACCTCTGAGAGCTGCTTCTAGCACCCTACCCGCTGGCGTTCCTGCTCCTTCCAAGTCCCAGCTGGTGGAGGGAGAGTTGCTGTCTGGAGTGACACAGCCTGAGTGGCTGGACCCCACAGAGCTGAAGCAGTCAGAGGGGTGGCAGTTCAGGGGACTCTGTGAGACCGGGGCACCATGGGAAGGCCCGGCACAGTTTTCTGTGTGCTAAGCCCTTAGCTGGCCAGCTTCCCCCAGCCAGGAATCCAGTCCCAGGTGAGGAGAGGGGGTCCTGTGACTTCCCTCCTTCCAGAATCAAAGACCACTCACCTTTGACTGCAGGTAGAAGGAGCCACCAACGGATTTGTCATTCACCTTAAATAAGTGTTCATAGTTCTGCGGAGGAGAGGCGGGTGAGAGGGCTGCAGATTGTAGCGAGAGACACTGGGCAGGCTTTGTGAGGTCACGTGAGAGAAGCCACAGGACTCCTCTCCACCCTGTGTGCCACATGCAGCTGTTGTGGCCACTGAGAGGCAGATGTGGACAGGTACCCTGGAGGGCGACATGGCTGCTAAAACTGTCCTGCCTTGGGCCTAAGACATAACGAGTGGTAGCAAGCTGGAGTCCACGCTGGCTATGGCCACAGCATCCAAATTGGACTTCTCTGCCAGGCCTCCCTTCACTCTTCCCGCCCTGGCAGCCTCTCCCCCTCAGTCTTTGGGGCAACCCAGTGGCCTTACCTTCTGGACCTCCTCGGGGCTCAGCTTGGACACGTTGAGAATTTGCTGTGCCTCCTGGAGGCTGAGGCCAGAGAGGTTGGAAGCTGCTGCAGAGCGGTGTCCAGCGCGTCCTCGGGCATCAGCTGCGGCCCGGCTGGCTGTGTGGACATATGGGTGATCGCTCAGTCCTCAGCAGCCCAGACTTTGCCCTGGGCATTCCAAGTGGGGGCTCACCCCTGCCACTGGCACAGGATGAGACACGGACAGAGGTGGCGAGGAACCTCTTCTCCAGGAGTGGTTTTTTAGGGGGTAGTGGGTGGGACAGTGAGGACAGATGTGCCTCACTGGAGGAAAAGGGCAGAGTCTGACCACCAAACCTGGCTCTTGGTCCCCAACCTAGACCATGAGATGACAACCCGCCCCCACATCCCAGGGCACAGCAAATTGGGGAGATTTAGGCTCTGATGGGGACTGGACAGTGGAGCTGTGGGCATGAGAGGGCTCTGCAGGGGCCCGGCTGCCCACCGGTCACCTAGATCACCAAAGCCGCTGCCTTGGGTGACCTTTTTCCCTTTCAGTGACCCAAGAAGCTAAAATCAGGAGCTGGTAAACTTTCTCTAAAGGCTCAGAAAGTAGATGTTTTAGGCTTCTCTGGCTAATGAGCATGCATTGGACCCATTCCACTCTGCCCTGAAAGCAGCCCGTGGGCATGTCTGTGCGCCAATCAAATTTATTTGCAAAACCAGGGCTGGGCCCCATGGCTCACACCTGTAATCCCAACACTTTGGGAGGCTGAGGAGGATGGGTCACCTGAGGTCAGGAGTTCCAGAGCAGCCTGGCCAACATGGTGAAACTACCTCTCTGCTAAAAATACAAAAGTTAGCCGGGTATGGTGGTGGGTGCCTACAATCCCAGCTACTTGGGAGACTGAGGCAGAAGAATCACTTGAACCTGGGAGGTGGGACTTCCAGTGAGCCAAGATCGCCCCACTACACTCCAGCCTGGGTGACAGAGTGAGACTTCATCTCAAAAAAAAAAAAAAACAACTTTATTTGTACAAAATCATTTATTTTGATAAAACCCGGTGTCCAGATGGGCCAGTCTGCCAGCTCCTGCCCTGGATGCTCTTGCTAACCAGGTCCCAATGAAGGATGCCCCTACCATGGGAACTGCCCCAGGCCACCCACAGTGCAGAACCATCAGGCCTGAGGTGCCCATGGCTACAGGGAAAATCTGACCCAGAGGGGAGACAGGCCCATGCTCACCTGCAAACTCCTGCCGCAAGGCCCGTGCAAAGGCCCTGCCCACCACCTGCACGCCCATCACGATGATCTGCGCCAGGTACTTGGCCTGTGGGCAAAGCAGGCACCTGGTTAGCAGGCTGCTGGAGACCTGAGGTCATGAAGCACAGAGCTGTTGCCCCGAGCCACCCCCTCCAAAGAACCCTGACTGAAAGCTTCCATGATGGGTGGCTTAGACACTCATTGGACAGGCAGGTGAGGGGTGAATTTGACAGAACTCCAAGAGATCCCCCCTCATCCTTCAAGAAAGGCAAAGAAGAGCAAAGGCAAAGTGGCTGCAGCCCCCAGCTTCAGGAGGAAACCTAGTGGCCTGGGAGCTAGAACACAGGGACAGCACCAGACCTAGCAGTATCTCCCTCTCAGCTTTGGGGCTGAGATTGGTTTTCCTGTGTTTCTGAGATCATCAGCCCCAACCTTTATTTTACCAATGGGGAAACAGATCCGTCATAATTCTCCCAAGTCCAATGATTTTAAGTCGGTTCCAGTCAATAAAACAAACTTGCTAAGGGCCTACTTAGAGCAAACCCATTTCCATCTTCAAGGAGCTAAAAGGCCGCTAGGAGGGTGTTTAAATGCACCACAGACCACACGATGAGGGAGAGTCAGGCTTGTCCATTTGTCATTTGTTCAGCCACTGGTTCACCCATTCATTCAAACATCTGCTCAAAGTCTACTCTGTTCAGCACCTGAGCACAAAGCTAGCCTGGTCCCTGCCCCAAGTCGGGCACACTGCTGGCCTGCCGGGGAATCCCACTGGTGCACAGCAGGCTGAATGTGCCTGAAGGCTGCACGTGTGATTCCACTCCCACGGAGGCCCTGGGGAAGACTGAGTAAGAGGTGACCGGAAGCACAGAGTCAAGAGGGAAAACCTGCAGCAGAGATGGGGTTCTGTGAGAGGAGGCTGTTCTTTCTGGGCTGGGCTTTGCAGAACAGGTAGAATCATGATGGAAATACTAGGGCTTTCTAGGCAGAGGGATGAGGTTGAGCCAAAACTGGCAGGAGAGAAGGCAGAAGGGAGTTCCTGTGAGCGCCCAACAGCCTAGGCTGGCCTGGGAAACTGGGAATCTGACAGATGACATGGAAAGATGCACAGATCTTGGGTGAAACAAAGAGATTATATATAGACAGCATGTACAAAGGACCCAGTCACTGTGAAGCCGTAGATGTGGGGACGTGGTGTGGGCTGGAGGAGGCTTGGCATAGGCTCAGAGCTCATGCGGCACAGCCCAGTGACTCTCCCTTTCTTCCTAGTGCTTTTCTGGAGTTAGAGTTCCCTTCAGTCAACAAGTATCAGCTGAGCCCGCACACCAGGCACAGTGCCAAACACGTTTAATTCATTGTGCCATTTAATCCTGACAACTCATGGGGCTTGGTGACCGGCCAGAGGACATACAGTGGGTACCTCGGAGGCAGATGGGAAACCCAAGGCTGGTGCTACCAGTCACGGCCGTCACTACGCAGGGTCCTGGGGTCTGAAGGGAGGGCACCTGAGCAAGCCGACAAGTATCAAGACCCCAACCCCGAGGCTGGAGGGGCTTGCCCCACAGATTCCAGTGGATTCCAGACTCCAGAACTGGCCTTGTTCAGCCTCTGAGGACCTGCGCTTTCCTAACAGGCAGGATGTGATTATGGGCCATTAGGCGAATGAACAAACGCAAGTGGGTTAGGATTTCACAAACAGGTGGAAATTTCCTAACTTCTGGATTTCACAGCAGAAAGCAGAACCCAGAGATGACCGTCTTGTGATCAAGGCGAGGGGCAGGGCTGTGGCCGCTGTGCTGCAGGTATGGGAGGGTCAGAGATGCACCTACTGACACCTGTGGTCTCAGCTGACTTCACCTCCTTCCTAAACATCCCCCCAAGGGCAACAGCAGGCTCAGGGATGGGATGCTGGTGCTTTGAAGGACAGAGGTGAAAGGCAGAGGGTCCCCTCAGCCTGGAACATGGCTCAGGTCTCAGGCTACCCCTCCCACCACATGGCCTTGCAATCACTTGTTTACTCTTCTGCCAAGGCCAATGACTAGACTATTGCAAAATAATGCATTTTTTTTTTTTTGAGATGGAGTTTCGCTCTTGTTACCCAGGCTAGAGTGCAATGGCGCGATCTCGGCTCACTGCAACCTCTGCCTCCTGGGTTCAAGCGATTCTCCTGCCTCGGCTTCTGGAGTAGCTGGGATTACAGGTGGAAGCTACTGCGCCCATCTAATTTTGTACTTTTAGTAGAGACAGGGTTGCACCATGTTGGTCAGGCTGGTCTCGAACTCCTAACGTCACGAGATCTTGCTCTCCTCGGCCTCCCACAGTGCTGGGATGACAGGCCTGAGCCACCATACCCAGCTAACTTGTTTAAAGATGAGGCTGTGCCATGTTGTCCAGACTGTTCTCGAACTCCTGACCTCAAGTGATCCACCCACCTCAGCCTCCGAAAGTGCTGAGATTATGGGCGTGAGCCACCACGCCTACTCTTTTTTTTTTTTTGAAGCAGAGTCCAACATTGTCGCCCAGGCTGGAGCAGTGGTGCAGTCACAGCTCACTGGTGGCCTCAGGACATCCTTCCACTTAAGCCTCCTGAGTAGCTAGGGCTACAGGCTTACGCCACCACACTTGGCTAAATTTTTGTACTCTTCTGGAGAAGATGGGGTTTCGCCATGTGGCCCAGGCTGGTCTTAAAAATCCTGAGTTCACCAGAAAATGAAATACCGCATGTTCTCACTCATAGGCGGGTGCTGAACAATGAGAACACATGGACACAGGGAGGGGAGCATTACACACTGGGGTCTGTTTCGGGGAATAGGGGAGGGACAGCGTGGGGTGGGGAGTTGAGGGGAGAGAGCATGGGGAGAAATGCCAGATATAGGTGAAGGGGAGGAAGGCAGCAAATCACACAGCCACGTGTGTACCTATGCAACTATCTTGCATGTTCTTCACATGTACCCCAAAACCTGAAATGCAATTTTTAAAAAAAATCCTGAGTTCACACGATCTGCCCTCCTCGGCTTCCCAAAGTGCTGGCATTACAGGCATGAGCCACTTCGCACAGCCCACCTCAGTTTTCTTAACTGCAAAATGGAGAGAATAATACCATCCTCACAAGAGGACAATAAGGCTCTCAGGAGGCAATGTCCATAACACTGTGGGGACAGACAGCAGCAGGTCCAGAACTAGATGGCATACTCAAGCCTCTAACACACCTAAGCAGTACCCTAATGTCCCCTGAGCTAATGCCATGGGTCAGGCTGGTGTCAGAGCTCATTCATGGGGACAGAGCTCTGCCAGCTGCAGCTACCATGGGTGACCAAAACAGCCACTGCCCAAGGCCCCTCCCAGAGGCTCCAAACATTCTATAGTCCAGTGACTGACACTTGGGCCTGAGGGTCCCAGGCAAAAGGATCCAGCTGATGTGGCATCCAACTTCAGGCCACGTGACTGTCAGAGAGCAGTAGTTAGAAGCACAGGACCCAACCCTGGGACGCGTGGGGACAGCACATGTGTGTACTTGCTGCGCAAGTACAGGACCAGAGGCCAGCAGCTGGGACCACAGACAGTGCTGTGGGAGGCATTCAGCAATGGGGTTTATACTGATTTGTGTCTTTGAGATTTGCGTGCAATGTGCCTTTGAGGCCAAGCGCCAGGCTCCGGGGAGATGAACAGACGGCCTCATTCTCAAGGACACTCCAGTCACCCAGGGCCCCTGCAAAGAGATGCTGGCATCACAACTAGGCAGGAGGAAGGTAAGGACCACAACTGGGGCCTGGCCAGTGGCTGGAGCAGCAAGTGTCCCTGAGGCATCTGAATGAATATGGCTGTTCAGTTTTGGCTAAACTGCTGTCTCATGAACTCCATGTCCCCAGGCACGGTTTCCAAGCACTTCCTAACCCTTTCTGCTGGAGGGTTCTGGCCATCTCCCAGTGTACACACAATTCTCCACCGCTGCCTACAGATTCGGTCCACTCCCCAGCTTGATATTCACGGTGATGGGTCTGGGCTCAACTTGCCGCCCTCACCTCTCTTCCCGCTGCAGCCACACCCTCCCCTCTGCTCCTACAGCCACTCTCATGCTTGTGGCCTCGGCAGGGCCTTTGCTGTTCTGAATTCCTCCATCCTGAACATCCCTGCTTCTACCCTGACCCTGTCAAAACCCAACATCCTTCAGGACTTAACATCACACACCATTCCCTGGGTGAAACCTCAGGCTCTCCCATGTATACCTTCTGAAAGCACTTTCTTTTCCTGTTAATTGTCACGCTGGGTGCGGTGGCTCACGCCTATAATCCCAGCACTTTGGCAGGCCAACGCAGGAGGACTGCTTGAGCCCAGGAGTTTGACACCAGCCTGGCAACATGGCAAAACCTCATCTCCATGAAAAACACAAAATATTAGCTGGGCATAGTGGAGCATGCCTATTGTCCCAACTACCCAGAAGGCTGAGGCTAGTTGGGATGGGGTCGGAGGATTACTTGAGCCCCGGGAGGTCGAGGCTGCAGTAAGCTGTGATCGCACCACTGTACTCCAGCCTAGGAGACCCATCCTGGGCAATACAGCAAGATCCCATCTCTACAAAAAATTTAAAAATTAGTCAGGGGTGCTGGCACCCACCTGTAGGCCCAATTGCCTGGGGGTTTGAGGTAGGAGGCTCATTTGAGCCCAGGAGCTCAAGGCTGCAGTGAGCCAGGATCGCTCTACCGCACTCTAGCCTGGGTAACAGAGAGATCCTATCTCAAAAGACAAAGAAAAACATGAGTCTTGGGACACTGGGCTCCAAAGAGGTCTCCGACACAGTGGGATGCATGACTGCGGAGGAGTCAAACAGTCTGAGCCTCAGGTTTCTTTGTTTTGTTTTGAGATGGAGTTTTGCTCTTGTTACCCAGGCTGGAGCGCAATGGCACAATCTCGGCTCACCGCAACCTCCGCCTCCTGGGTTCAGGCAATTCTCCTGCCTCAGCCTCCCGAGTAGCTGGGACTACAGGCGCACCACCATGCCCAGCTAATTTTTGTATTTTTAGTAGAGACGGGGTTTCACCTTGCTGACCAGGATGGTCTCGATCTCCTGACTTGGTGATCCACCTGCCTCGGCCTCCCAACGTGCTGAGATTCCAGGCATGAGCCACACCGCGCCCAGCCGAGCCTGCACGTTGAAAGGTTCCCCCACGTGACCTGACAGTGCGACACAGGTCTGTGCACTCGCTGTACGAGACAATGCTATCACACAAACGCTCCGTGCCTGGTGTCTCGGGGCCTAGTTCAAGCCCCAGATCTGCCACTTTCCTGGAAAGGCCAACTTTCCAATGGGTATAGCAACAGCGACTCTGCAGCGCTGTAAGGTTCCAGGGGAGGTGCTCACCGGCCAGACCCACGCTCCACCGGCGCCCATGGCTGCTCGCTCACACGCGGGCTAGGCACAGCGCGACCACGTTTTCCCGGCCTCTTCCATGCAGACGGCTTTCCCTGGCCCTGAGGCCGCCGCAGCCGCCACTGCTGGCCTAGGTCCCCCTGGATGCAACGCTTCCCAGACCCTGCTTCCTGCCGGGTACGCAGGGGGCGCACGCCGCCCGGCCCCCAGCCCGACTCGGCCTCCCTTCCTCGGGCCGCGCCCGACTCGGGCCTCACCATGGCAGCTGCTCTGCCTTGGGGACTCAGGCTCCGACTTCCTGGCCTTGCGGCCCCAGCTCAAGGGTGGCCGGCGGGTCAGAGGTCAAGGGAGGCCACAGAGAGCGCTTGCGCGAGACGGCGCTGAGCATGCGTATTACCTCGGTCCCGGGGCGGGGCGCTGGCGGTGTCGTAGCCGCTCGGGGCGGAGTCGGAGGCGGGATTTGACACATGGCGGAGCCTGCTTCGGGCTCCGGACAACTGGGGGCGGGCGTGGCGGCGTGGGGCGGTACCAGGAGCCTCAATGGCCTGCGTGCTTACGCTGGTGCGCTGGAGCAGCTAAGCACATCGGTCAGACCTGGGGCGATTTCTGCCCTTGATTTCGCCAAAATATTTGGGAATGCAACATTATACGAAATCAACGAACATATATGGAGTAGGATCCCAAATTCTCAGGAATATTGAAGAAAATAGGAAACTTCAAGATAGGTTTCATCCATATTCCTCCTGCCTGGGACGCTCGTTCCCTCCTTCAAATAATTGCTCAAATGTCACCTCAATGAGGCCCACCTAGACCCCGTACAACGCCGTGCCTTGCCCTCCATGAATGAAAATAGTAACAGATTTACTGAGATATAATGCATACACTTGACATTTCACGATGGTCAAGCGCACAGTCCAGTGCCTTTTATTCACAGAGCTGTACCACTGTCCACTATTAGTTCCAGAACGTTTCATCACCCATTAATCCCTCCCCTCCCCCAGCCCCCGTCAACCACTCGTTTTTCTCCCTGTGGATTCGCAGGTTCTGGACATTTCATAGAAACAGAATCATACAAGCCAGGCATGGTGGCTCACGCCGGTAATCTCAACAATTTGGGAGGCCGAGGTGAGAGGATCACTTGAGGCCAAGAACTCAAGATCAGCCTGGGGAACATGGTGAAACTCCAGCTCTACAAAGAAGTACATAAATTAGCCAGGTGTGGTGGCAGGCGCCTGTAGTCCCATCTACTTGGGAGGCTGAGAGGTGGGAGGATCTCTTGAGCCTGGGAGCTAGAAGCTACAGTGAGCTGTGATCATGCCACTGTACTCCAGCCTGGGTGACAGAGCAAGGCCCTGCCACAAAAACAAAACAAAACAAAACAAAACAGAAAAAAAGGAAAAAAAAAATGCAAAAACAAAGAAATCCAATCATACAATGTGCAGGCTTTTGTGACTGGCTTATTCTCCCTTCTTGATAGTCTCTATATTTTTTAATCCAAGACTGTGACCACCCTCTACCTACCATACAACATAATTTACTCATTATTTTGAGACAGAGTCTCACCCTGCCACCCAGGCTGGAATGCAGTGGCACGATCCTGGCTCACTGCAACCTACACCTCTCAGGTTCAAGCGATGCTCATGCTTTACCCTCCTGAGAAGCTGGGATTACAGGCATGGACCACCATGCCCCACTAATTTTTGAATTTTTAGTAGAGACAGTGTTTCGCCATGTTGCCCAGGCTGGTCTCTAACCCTTGGCCTCAAGTGATCCACCCACCTCAGCCTCCCAAAGTGCTGGGATTAAAGGTGTGTGTCACCATACCCGACTAATTTATTGTTTTATTTTTTTCCTTTGTTCTTTTTGAGACGAAGTCTTGCTCTGTCACCCAGGCTTGAGTGCAGTGATAGAATCTCAGCTCACTAAAATTTCCACTTCTGGGGTTCAAGTGATCCTACCACCTCAGCCTCCCAAAGTGCTGGGATTATAGGCATGAACCATCATGCCCAGCCCACACCTGGCCTATTTTTTTTTTTTTTTTGGAGACAGGGTCTCACTCTGTTGCCCAGGCTGCAATGCAGTAGTATGATCATGCCTCACTTCAGTCTTGACCTTCCAGCATTTGAGCGATACTCTCACTTCAGCTTGCTGAGTAGCTGGGACCACGTGCTTGGTTAATGTTTGTATTCTCTGTAGAGATAAGGGTCCCCCTAGGTTGCCCAGTCTGATCTCAAACTCCTAGGTTCAAGCAATCCTCACACCTTGGCCTCCCTTTGCTTTTGTTTATTGTCGAGAATCTGTTCCCTTCCACTAGAGTGGGAGTTCCTGCTGGGCAAGACTTTTCTCTCTGCTCTTAGATGTCAAGGGCCTGGAACAGGCATCTGGCACACAGCATTTGGCAAATGGTGGGATGAAAGTTGGGCTGCCTCGCCCCCTGCTGGGCACCACCCCACCCCCACCCGCCCCGCTCTTCTTCCCCTTCCTCCCATCCTCCACATTCCTCCCTCTGTGCCCACATTGTCCTTCCTTGCTTGCCTGGAAGCTGCTCTCTCCCTGCATGGCTCCTCATCAGCCCTTAGGTCTTGTCTCTTAGCTCAAAGTCACCTTCTCAAACCCCGAATCTCAGTTGCTTCCTGTTCCCCAGTTTCTTTTTCTTTTTTTTTTTTTTGAGATGGAGTTTTGCTCTTGTTACCCAGGCTGGAGTACAATGGCGCGATCTCAGCTCACTGCAACCTCCACCTCCTGGGTTCAGGCAATTCTCCTGCCTCAGCCTCCTGAGTAGCTGGGATTACAGGCATGCGCCACCATGCCCGGCTAATTTTTTGTATTTTTAGTAGAGACGGGGTTTCACCATGTTGACCAGGATGGTCTCGATCTCTTGACCTCGTGATCCACCCACCTCGGCCTCCCAAAGTGCTGGGATTACAGGCGTGAGCCACAGCGCACAGCCCCCAGTTTCTTTTTTCTTTTTTGAGACGGGGTCTTGCTCTGTCGCCCAGGCTAGAGTGCAATGGCATGATCTCAGCTCACTGCAACCTCTGCCTTCTGGTTTCAAGTGGTTCTCCTGCCTCAGCTTCCCGAGTAGCTGGGATTATAGGCACCCATCACCACACCTGGCTAATTTTTTTTTTTTTGAGACAGAGTCTCACTGGCACCCAGGCTGGAGTGCAGTGGTGCAATCTTGACTCACTGCAACCTCCACCTCCCAGGTTCAAGCGATTCTCCTGCCTAAGCCTCTTGAGTAGCTGGGTCTACAGGCATGTGCTACCACACTGGCTAATTTTTTTTTTTTTTTTTTTTTTTTAGTAGAGATGAGGTTTCACCACATTGGCCAGGCTGGTCTCGAACTCTTGACATCAGGTGATCCGCCTGCCTTGGCCTCCCAACGTGCTGGGATTATAGATGTGAGCCACTGCGCCTGGCCTAATTTTTGTATTTTTAATAGACACGAGGTTTTACCATGTTGGCCAGGCTAGTCTCGAACTCCTAACCTCAAGTGATCCTCCCATCTTGGCCTCCCAAAGTGCTTGGATTATAGGCGTGAGTAACCACACCCAGCCAGTTTCTCTTCCTTACTGCTGTCTTTGCACTCTATCTGCTTGCCTGAAGGCTGTCTAATCTCCCTGCATAAGAAGGCTTAGGAAGCTGAAGCTCCTTGCGTGACCTTGTCTCTCCTGTCCTTTACAGCATCCCGCCATCCAGAGCACTGCAGTTACCTGCTGGTGAACGAATGACTTCCAACAGTGCACAGCTGATCGGGTCTTGGGAGCAGAGTGAGGCTAAGATACAGGGAAGCCCAGGTCCAAACCCCTGTCACCCACATTCCTGTCCCCTTCGCTTGCCAACCAGCCCAGAGACCATAGCAGCATAAGAGGTAGCCAGCTTAAAAAAGTTTAATTGCTGAGAACATCCAGAGCAGGTGCGGGCCGGTCTTTGTGGGGCTCACACCCCCCTTATTGGACCAACAGCTCTGCGATGACTCCTTCTCCTGGCTACAAACCTGGGAAGCAGGGCAGCTGGTCCCAGGGCCCTGAGACTGGTGCTGCTCCAGAAGGCCTGGTGGGGGGCCAGCCCCCAAGGCCCTCGACCAGAACTGGGGCAGCAGGCAAGATGGGGCAGCATGGGGTGAGCAAAGGTGCTGGACGAGGCCAGCCCAGGATGGGACTGGCCCAGGACAGCAGAGAGACCAGGGGAGACAGGGTACCCAGGGCCTGCCCAGGGACATGCTACTGACCCCCCGCCACTCTGCACCCCTGGCTACATGCTAGTGGGAAGCTGATGTGCAGCAGCTGACCCCAGAGACAGCAGAGGTGAGAACAGTCCCTGGGAGCTGCCAGAGTCCCAGAAGCTGTGGCAGTGCCCACGGGAAGCCAGGGCTGCAGGGGTGAGAAGTGCCGGCACCAGAGAGGCGGCTTCCAGCCTGAGGATGAGCTGTGAGGTGTGCACTAGGAGGCCGCAGCACAGGTGAAGTGGAGGTGACGGGGGCGCAGGCTAGTCCTGGGGTGAAACACCGAAAGGTGGGAGAGAGTCAGAAGAGCCTGGGAAGGCGGGAGGTGCGTGCTGTGCCATGTGCCAAGGGATGGCGCTGCCTGACAGGAAGTGGGGCCACTTGCCACTCACCCACTCATCCTCGTCCACACCTTCAAAGGAGTCCTGGGGGAGCGGGTCGTCCCTGTTCCCCAGCTTTGCCACCATGGCATTCAGCAGCTGGGAGAGAGGGCAGGAGAAAGGTCGGGAAAGGCATATGACTCCCTACTCCCACTCTGACAATGCTGTGAAAAGAGCTTGTTTTTTGTTTTTAGAGAGAGGGTCTTGCTCTGTCACTCAGGCTGGAAGGCAGTGGTGCAATCATGGCTCACTGTAGCCTGGACTTTCTGGGTGTCAGTGAACCTCCTGCCTCAGCCTCCCAATTGGCTGGGACAAGTGTATAACACCACACATGGTTAATTATTATTATTTTTTTTGAGACAGAATTTCACTCTTGTTGCGCAGGCTGGAGTACAATGGCGTAATCCCGGCTCACTGCAACCTCTGCCTTCCAGGTTCAAGTGATTCTTCTGCCTCAGCCTCCCAAGTAGCTGGGATTACAGGCATGCACCACCCTGCCTGGCTAATTTTGTATTTTTAGTAGAGATGGGGTTTCTCCATGTTGGTCAGGCTGTTCTCAAACTCCTGACCTCAGGAGATCCACCTGCCTCAGCCTCCTGAAGTGGTGGGATTACAGGCATGAGCCACCGGTTAGTTTTTAAAACTTTTTTGTGGAGATGGTCTAAAACTCCTGGCCTTAAGAAATCCTCCTGCTTTGGCCTTCCAAAGTGCTGGGATTACAAGTGTGAACCACCACACCTGGCCAAAATAGCCATTTTATTTTATTTTATT